TAACAATGTCAAAATTTTACCTGCTCCACTAAAACAAGATTCGATAAAGTAATTCTACTATGCAAACGATCAAGTTCATCAATAAAGTAAATCACTAATCTTTGTAAAATCCCAACCGTCAATCGCTCATATTCTGAAAATGGTGTTCTCAAATTCTATAACTTTAACTAATAAAGTCATTGATTTACAAATTTTTATCCAAGAAATATTCTCAGGACATCACAATTCAAATCGATCATTAGTTTCTTAAAGATACAGACAATGTTGACTACAAATAGTATTTTCTTGAAAAAAATCAAGCTTGAACGTCTCGTTGTTCTCCATCCATGTTTTAAATTATGTTAGAATTTATTAGTTTATTTATCTTCTCTTTCTCTTATGTTGATCTCTCTTTGCATGTTTCATCATGTTATAATGAAAATAGACATTCGTCTAAAATTGGTCAAAAAGTGATCAAAATAGTTTCTGATCACAAAAAAATTGGTAAAATTTGATATGTTTTCTTATAGTGGATACACATTAAATTATGTACAAAGTTGAAATTAGTCATGTATTGCACAAGGTACCGCTTGTAGGTTGATGTACATGCAGGAGTACCGTCCTAGAAAGTATGCTCATGGCAACCTAAAACCAACCAAAATCTTGCTTGATGACTACGGCCTCGCATCTCAAGCTTCGATCTCACACGTCTTGCCTCTGGATACTCAAAGCTCACATGTTTGCTATTTGCCAAAACGCAAAGCTTAGACCAAACTTTTTTAACCTCTGCTACAATGGTGAGAAGAATCGCTACTTATTTGGTTGCTTACCTTGCACCCGAGGCTCAAGCTACATCTGGTCGCAAATTATCTTCCTTCGATGTTTACCTTCAGTTCATAACTGCATTTTTGTAACTCCTCTAGTGTCATGAGAATGATCATACAGTTTTCCTATGGGCGAAACCTATAACTCATCATAATTAAACAAGAGACAAGACACGTTAGTTTCTCTACGTATCTATATTGGAGCTCCTAACTGTTGGGAATGTCCTGAAATCATTTATACTTATTCTAGAAAGTTAAAATGTCAAGGTTTGACAATCGTATAATATTAGATGGTTATAATATTTTGCTAGAAACCACTAATAATTGATGGATTTGAAAACCTATTACTAATATTATATGATCCTATAGGGTCACACACCTAAGCAAACTAGATCACTAATATGTTGAGTTTTAATAATAATACAACTAGGCAGGTATCCGCGCGTTGCGCGGGACAACAATATAAAAAAAACTAATAGTTTAAAATTGTAAATTGAGATTTTACATTTAGCACAAAACTAATTACTTATTTCGAGTAACAAAAATATAATTTTGATGTATTATACATCTAACATTCAACGAAATATAATTGAACAATCCAAACTAATCAATATTTAAGATTATTTTGTAAGATCAATATAGAACATTATTAAAAACGGAATATAATTTATCTAGCATTATTTTGGTAATAAACATATAATTATATAATATGACGTAACATTTTTCTTCGTTATCAACACAATGGAAAACATGTCGGATAATTTTTGGAATTGGGCAATTTTTTCGAATCCAAGTTGATTCTATTCCGAATTATGTGCCTCAAGACGTGTTTTTCTTCTCCTCGATCATTTTCTACTTCGCCTAGCCTTTTTCTTCAAAACCTTAACGTGAGCGTTAATTGCTTTGTGTGGGAATAATAAATTTGAAACCTTGATATAATTTTTATTTAGAAATAAAATTTGATTTATAATCTTAATTTTTTAACAAATTAATGGGTACTAAACTTGAATATTTGAGTCTAAAACCCTCACAAATGCGAATAAAATATTAAAAACAGTTTATATTTTTAACAAATTAAGGGGTACTAACCCTTATATGTTAGTCTTTAACCCTCAATGT